TTCCCGAACAAGTCTTGCGACCAGACTACTCTGATAAAAGGAGAACAATTGAAAAGTTTGCGTTCATTCAATGCACTAAAGCAATTGATCTCAGAATTTGAAAAAAGTATTAACCGATAAATTTCAAAATTCAGTGCTTAATTTCGTAACTCTTGTTAACGCTGACTTTTTGAAAGTAACAAAAAATTTCACCAACCACTATAGTTAAGGGTTTTTTAGGTCGCTTGATTACGAATCGTTTGGGAGTTTTGTAAAATTTCCAAAATTCAAAATGGTGGATGATTATTTTTTAAATTATTCAGATTTTCATGAAATTCGTTACTCGGGGGTTTTTGGGGTTGCTCATTACGAATCCAATGTAAGTTTTTTAAAATTAAAAATGGTGGATTCAATATGGCGGACGATGTTTTTTAATTGATAGGATTTACTTGAAACTCGTAAGTTTGGGAGTTTTTTGAGTCGCTAATTACAAATCCGGATGTCAGTTTTGACGGTTTGCCGATGGCTGTTCATGAACCCACGGCCAATTTTATTTTGTAATTTGCCTACCTACTTGTTTTTTAATGTCAGATTTTAAAAATTAAAAATATTCGATCTAATATGGTGACCAATAATAATTTTTTAAATTATACTGATTTGATTGAAACTCGATTCAGTGACTCCAAATAACTTGGTAATAGACATTTTTAAATCAATATGAAATATACATGTGGAAACATCACATTTAATAATTTAAAGTAAAAAATTTAATAAAAGAAAACAGTTTCCATGAAAAATTGTTGGTTATTGTGTTTTCCTGGATGTATCGGATTCCCGCCAATATCGGATATTTTTCTCTGTCTCTTCAAATCCGATATATTTGCGGTTTACAGTAATATAAAAATACATTTTTGAATTTTTTTGGAAAAACTCACAAATTTTATTCAAATTAAGATTTTTTAATTCCGTATGCGGCTAATATTTCTGATCAGATTGTAATTTTATAATCGTTCTGTAGACGCAACATTTAGTATTAAGTTTATAGTAGAAAAGAGTGTAAAGATTGTGTAAACAAACAAAGAAATAAATAATAATATTTCTTTCATGTATTATGTAAAATTTGACTTTTCAACCAATTCAAGAGAGGAAAGTAATGGAAAAATTGTGAACTAGGCCACAAGTCGAAGGTGCTTGATACATTGCTTGATTCAGAATTGGCTCGTACTTGCAAGTCGTTCAGAATAAATCACAAACGATGAATATTAATATACAACCAACCGATAAGCATGAAGTTTTACAAAATTTATAGTTAATGCATGGATACTTTCTATTTTTTACTCGACAAACATATTAAATATTTTTTTTATTCAATATAAACACTCATTTTTTAATATAGTTGTCTAATAATAATTGCTTTTTGTTAAAACCGTTTTCATTAATTCTTTCATCATCTTTAGAACTGTGCGGTTTTTGAATAGCCGGTTTTCGGTTTTTCAAAAAAACCGGTTCTTAAGTTGGTTTTTGGGTTTAAAACTAAAACTGGTATTTTTACAAAAAAACCGGTATTTTAAAAAAATTCGTTATTTTTTTAAACCCGTGTTTTTAATACCGACATTTAAAAAAAAGGTTTTCTAAATACCAATTTATTCAAAAAGAAAACTGGTTCAAAAAAATTTGGTTTATTATAAAAATCAGGTTGTTTTTTTGTATTTCCCGAAAAAACGGTTTATATAGAAAAGAAAACCGGGTTTTCAAGTAAACTCGGTTTAAACAATAAAACAGGTTTTAAAAAAAAAAGTGGTTCTAAAATAAAAACATTAAATCGGGAATTCATAACCGCAAACCAAATTCCGGAAATACCGAAAAAAAACGATATTGCGTTTTTTTATTTATTTAAATAAATGTCACATTCTTAAAATTATAACCCAGCCATTATACAGTTTGTGCAAAATTTCAATTAATTTCATTAATTATTCTTGAAAAATTTGACGAAAAAATTCAATTGCATGAAATATTATGCTGAAAGGGAAATATGAAATTAAAGTAGTGGATTTTCCGGGTCGAGTATCTTTTAAGATGCAAATATGAGCCAAGTAAAGGTTAATGTTGAACCATTTGGCAAGGTTGCATATCCATTAAGAAATTGGAACGTGACAAGGAATAACCATTATAGAGGTGCTAATTTGATTGAATGAATTTCATTCGAATAGTTCATGCTTATCTTGAAATTCATTACTACAAGTAATTTTGACTTTTTTCACAATTCTTAATGATGCCAAGTCTAGTCGTTTATATAATTTTCTTAAACTACAAAACTAATACGGATTCTAAACAATTAAAAACATATATTCAAAGTTAATTATAAGTGGATATCAAATAGACGCGCATAAAAAAACCCCCACAGGTTGTATTGAAACTTAAATACAACTTCTCAGTAGAAATGGTATTAAAACATGTCTTGAATTAATAGGATCAGTCTAAAAAGTATATATTTTTAGCGAAATTAGAAAAATTGCTCTAGAATACTTCTATTAATCGAGAAATATGAGTTCTTTATGACACGAGCTTTTATATCGTTTTCCTTTTAGCGAGGGGAAAATACAAAAGGTAGTTGCGAATGGAAATGGTCGTTTCGAGAAAACACGCTATTTTTTTTTTTTTTTATTAATTTTCGAGGCACGTTTTGAAACGAAGAGCGTATATGACACATTGTGACCTATAAAAAAAATTATTGGTGCACAAACTTTACACGTGAAGAGAATAAGCGTGCAGGGAATTGCACCCGAGAGTTGAGAGTGTAAGAGCATTTTAGCGTTGAAACACTAGAAGCAGCCTCAGGCATGTTTCACCATTCACGGCCGGAAAATCTGAGATTGCTCTATGCGATGGGACAAATTCAGATTCAACTTTGTTCGTAAACGTTCGTGCGCGATATTTCCTTACAGAATTATTATATGAACGATATTTTGAGGGTTTATGACTTGGAATTTATATAGATAGATGGAAAATCATTTTTTTTTCTCATATTGAAAATCGCTGATACGTTCAAAATTTTGGATTTGATAAGGAACTTTTTGAATTATATTATAATAAAATATTTTTCACATCTGATAGAATTTTATTTTATATATCTTCAATTTTTTTATATATAGTAATTAATTATTATGTTTACACTTGAAGATTTAATAAACTAATATAATATATTTAACATTACAATATAAATATTCCTTAAAAATAATAAAAATTTTCATAAACTACTGCAGCACTTTCTTTTAATAATTATACTCGCTGTTTTGATTCTAACCGCGCATATACCAAATACCAACAGGTCACTGATACTTGATTGATTATAATTACGTTATGATTATTAAATCATAAAATAATTATAATTATACATATATATTTTATTTAAAATTCATAAAAATATTCACTTATTTATAATTAATCAGTTTAAAATGACAAATTATTAATGTCGGTGTGGAAATTGAACCTGGTGCCAAACAGAAGAATCGCTTTAAATTATAGTTTTGAATACATATTTTGGGTGACGAGAAGAATTAAAATTAGTTTTTACAAAAATAAGAAAAATAAGAAGTTTTACTTTCTCGCATATTTTCACGTTCACAATGATTAATAAACAAAACAATTTTAACTGATAAATCAATCAATTTAAATTTATAATTACAATTTTAGCCAATAATTGCATATTATGTTAAAATGGAATGTTATAAGATTATGGAAAATGTAATTTTTTATTACATGTGACAAAATTATGCGTGATGATTAGTGAATTTATTTTTTGGATTTAATAAAACACATGAATAATATTTATTTTATTTATCGAATAACCCAGAAGCTAACCTGGTATAAGCAATTTATGTCTAATATTATATACAGTGAAATAAACTAAAGTTTCATCATCTTAATCTATATAAATATTTATCATAATTAAATTTACTCACAACTCAATATACGCATTAAAAATTATATGTGTATAAATTGTCTATAAAAACTTAAGTAATAAACTTATCATTGTACAGCTGAACGAATAAAAGTTCAAGAAGATATTGAATATTATGTGTTTACCCTTTCTAATAACTGATATTGCTCTAATATATAAAACTTCACTGCCTCTCTTCTACTAGAAATTTAATTTGTCGCAATTCTTATCCCCAGAAATGTGTCCCATTCATATAATATTAATTTATATTATTATTAAATTATTATTACATATTTATTTGTTACTTTATTTAATGTTCTTTATCATTACTGTTCCTTAAGAGCATGTGATTGTTAGACCTCCAATGCTAATTTTTCGTCTAAAATACAATTAGGAAAGACACTGATATGTAAAAGTTTAAAACTTTTTTAAATTGATTATTATAAAACACTTTAAAATTGGTAAAAAAGTAAGGCTTTCAATGACTGGCTAAACTGATAATTTTAAAGTATTTTATAATAATTTTTAAATAACAATTTCGAAATTTTAAGAAAATACACAAAGATTTAACAATCGTCAAATTTGAAAAAATGAAAGCGTTTTTGACAATTTTTTAAACTCTGACGTATTTTGCAAAAATTACAGACAAAATTTAAAATTTATATAGGTGTCATCCTTCAAGTATCATCATTAATTTAAAACCAAAAATAGTAAAATTATTGATACGACATAAAAGTATTGTCATAAGAAAATATTAGTGTACCACTTCAAAAATTTTAATCCATAACATATCTCAATTGACAAAACGAAAAAAGATTTTTTTCAAGTTTATTTGATTAAGAACACAAAAATTGTTATTACTCTAAAATATTTTCATTGTGTCGAAGAAAATTATGTTATGGAAATAACTTACAAACAAGCAAAATATTAACATTCACAGAAAAAAGTGAGTGTTATTTTAACACTGAATTCGGTGTTAAAAGTGTCTGCATCAAACTTAAGCTCGGAAGTGTTATTTTAACACTGAAAATAAGGTAAATTTTCTATTATAGAAAATTTATCCTCACTAAAATTACCCTACCAAAATTTACCCGCATCAAAAACAACACTCGCTTTTCTCTGTGTTATTTTATTATCCTTACAACATAATATAATTTTCCTGTGCCCTACAGGCCATACAATCATATAGAATTAATGAAAAACCAGATTAAATTTGCTACATAAAGATGAAGCATTTAGATTTCTTTTACTGTCAATGTAATATTAAGTTTATAATTACAATTCTAATACATTGCAGAAAATAATTATTATCAAAAAAATATAAACTAAACCTTTAAGATTTAAATTATTTCTTGTCATCTCAATCAGATGAAATCAGTGAGCCAAGACCTACAGAATTATAAACATAAAGAAGCTGATCAACAAAGAAATCAAACAGTGGATTGTAACTTAAATCAATCTTATAGTTTTGATTAAAAGTACTAATTCGATCTATATCGTCGCGAATAAATAATAAATGTTTGTTAGCAATATTCAATAAACCATTTTCTGAAAAAGAAAAACAGTTCGAATAACTTCCTTCATCAGCATCATAATCATTTATTCTTTCATCATTTATTAATATATGTCCTTGTTCAACATGTGATAGACATAAGAAATCATTTATTTCAAAATTATAGTTAACATTTAAAACATCATCTTCTGAAATACCTAAAAATTTATATTCAAAAATTTCTGTTTCATTTCTTAGCAATTTCACAGAAAAATAAAGTTTATCTTCGAAATTATAATGAATATTTTTGGAATATTGTGAGAGAGATATCATTCTATTATCGTAATTTGTAAATATTCGAAGAAACATTTTATCATTTTCACCTGTAGCTTTGATGGTGCATTTTTTAAGAAATATCGTATCGTCATTGTCCTTTATATCTAATAATCCTTTTTTTGTAAGAACTAAAGTGATATCATTGAATGTTTCGTTATAAATATACTCTAAGCTTCTGTCATTGATGTATAAACGATACGGTTCTGCATGAAAAATATGCAATAAATCATCTTCCTTAAAATCGTGTATAACATTTAAAGTATTATTATCATCGGAAATACCCATAAATTTATGATTAAAAATAGTCTCCCCATTTCTGGTTAATTTTACAGAAAAGTAAACTTCATTTTTAAACACAGAATGAATGTTTTTAGTAAGTTGTGAAATAGAAATCGTCTTATCTTGATAATTTATAAATATTTTAAAACACATCTCGTCGTCATATCCTAAAGCTTCAACAACGTAATAAACGAGAGGTAGAAACACTTCATTTTTACTTATTTCTTTAACATGAACACGGATCTTCGAACTTTCAGAAATTACACGATATATTACCTCACTCATGTACAATTTATCACCTTTCTTTGCTGCAATATAAATCGAATAGACATTTGCCAGAATCTTTAAATCAAACATTTCATTGTTAATTACATGACATTCATTATTTAAATAAAGACACTCTCCATTTAGATTGAAAGGATGAATTGAAAATTGAACCGAAATGTTCTCTTTTTCTACTTTAGGTAGCAATATTAAGGAAGAAAATGGTCTAAAATCACGCTCTTGACTCATTCTCTGTATATCGCCAGATGATTTATTAAAATCTATGGCGGGCATTATGGAATTTCCGCTTAAAGCACGCAATTCTAAATCTGGATAAACTAAGGGGAATGTATAATTTTTAAAGTCAACAACTTTCTTTAAATAGGGTAATATATTAATATTACGAAGATCGAGAAACGTTTCAACTAGTGTAGGAATAATGTTAGCCAAATTACATGAAGTTGCTTTGTTTACTTGAAAATGACGATAAGCAAATTCCCGAAATAATCCGTCTGACCCATCGTATCCAAAGATACTTATAAAAAAGTGTAGTTTTTCCCTATAATTCCATAAGTGAATAGGCACACCATTTTGATAGTTTAGAGTAGCATTTGTCTCATCAGAATCTGGAAATGTCATCCAATATCCGTCTAGTTCTAATTTATGTTGATAAAAAGCTGCAAAAATATTGTTCCATACTTCAGCCACGTATCCAAATCCAAGAAAATATTCTTCAACGTCATAGTAATGTCCAAATTCGTGTAATAAAATCCACCTTGTGTTTTCAGGAGGTTGTAACCATGGTAAAACACTTGTATAAGCTACACGTTCAGTGCCTAAAGATGCAGCTGATGTACAGTCCTTTCTTACATAATTGCAGGACTCATCTTTATTTCTACACCCAATTGATGATTTTTTTGTAAAAGAAAGTTGTTCATCACTTGAAAAAAGTGAATCATGACAAAATGTCCTAGTTAAAAAAAGAACAGTACGTTCTTCTGTGTATTTACCATATTCTGAACCAGGCGAATGTATAATTCTTTTAGAACCAACTAGGGAATCGTAATATTGTATTACATTTGCTTGATTTTGTAGTCCAATGTAGAGACTCAAATTTGCTTCTCTAATTTCTTTAATTTCACCTGATGTCAGTAACATTTGTGTATAATAGTTTTCAACAAATCCATAAATTTTTACGATGTCAAAAAATTTGTTCTCCGCATCTTTTGATGTCGAAAGTCTGTATTTATTTGTATCAAAAGTTGGCAGTCTTATCCAATTACTTGTTCGAATTTCTACCTCAACAGGAACTTGATAGGAATCCGTAATCATAGGAACACAATTAAAATTGGCTTCTATAATAACAGAAAATTTTGTTTTTCCCTTGAAATTAATTTCATTTATTGAGTGTTCTGGTGTTTGAGTATAACAGAAAAACCTAAAATATTTAATTTCTTCTGAACTAGTTACAGTTACATTGAGTATTGTTTTCTGTTTCACTATTATTCCAAAGTGAGTTTTATGATGGTATTGAAAGTAATAGGTTAATTTATTGCAACTCGATGCAAAACTGTTTACAACAACGGGACTCGCACTCGCTATAATTGCCTGAAAATATAAAATTTTTTTAAATCGTTTAAGATTGGTTATAATATTATAAAGTTGACATTACACTGAATTAATAGATAAACTTTTTCATTCATCTTATATAACCATAATTTTAAGTTTTAAATATTATAAACAGAAACCTAAAGTATTGAGAATAACTTTCTGATAATGTGCAATCTAACGTAAATTAGTGAAAATTTCAGTGATTTCAATACAGTGGACGACTTTTCTTTGATGAATAAGTGGAATCTCACTGAGAGGTTTCTGGTTTTTACTGATGTATTAATGAAAACTCTTTCACTTAATTGAAAGTCAAATTTTTACTTATTGATATTTAGTGTGTGTAAAGGTAAAACTATATTTGACGCGCCGCAAAGAATGGAACTTAAGTAGCAAAATTTTGTTTATTACATTTCTACCTTGAATAAAGGATTCTTTTTTAATTTTGTGAAATGAAAAATAATTTTTATTGAATATTTTGAATTTAACGAAGCTTAAACATAATTAACTTTAAATACGAATTAACACACTTCTTAGGTCCCTTTCTTGGCTGCACGTTACATATTTTTATAACATTTATCACATTAATAAGTTTTAATTTCCAAATTTTTAAAATCTTAATAAAAATTTAATTAAACAAATTAAGATTAAGGTTAAAAGAAACTTTTTACCTAAATTACATATTAATAAAAATAGGAATTAGTATTTTTGTTCATTTAATTCTCTATATGTGACGCTCCACGAGAAAAGGGACCTTATTTACTCTTGTCATAAGGTCCCTTTTCTCGTGGAGCGTCACATATGAGGCTACTACTACTAAATTACCAAATTTTTCAATTTAAGAAAATTTACTATAATTTATTGATTGAAATATAGTAAAAGTTGCAAGAAATGCGCAGAAATTCCAAACAATTCAGGTTTTCTTTGACAATGGTAAAAGTTAATTTATATATTTTTCATTGTAGTCATTAAAATTATTTAAAAGGCGTGATGCCAAATAAACAAAAACATACTTGTGTACAACAATTTGTTAATGAAATAATGTAATAATAATTTGTTCATTATGTTTTCAAAATTGTATATAAAAAATTCTAAATTGAAATAGAATGTTAAAAAATTTTAGATTTTCAAATATGGTATAATAATTTCATACATACGTTTGTATTCCACCTTACATTACTGGCGTTTGAAACAAAGAAAAGCGCCATAAAAATGTTTAATTTTACAGCCCAAGCCATTTTAGAAAGATTGTTCTTAACATCAAAAAGAATAAAATTGATTTGTTTCTTCTTTCGCATTCACTTACATATAAAGAGTCATAAATTGTGAAGAAATTTTACTTTCTCGCATATTTTCACGTTCACAATGATTAATAAACAAAACAATTTGAACTGATAAATCAATCAATTTAAATGTATAATTACAATTTTAGCCAATAATTGCATATTATGTTAAAATGGAATGTTATAAAATTATGGAAAATGTAATTTTTTATTACATGTGACAAAATTATGCGTGATGATTAGTGAATTTATTTTTTGGATTTAATAAAACACATGAATAATATTTATTTTATTTATCGAATAACCCAGAAGCTAACCTGGTATGAGCAATTTATGTCTAATATTATATACAGTGAAATAAACTAATGTTTCATCATCTTAATGTATACATATGTTTATCATAACCAAATTTACTCACAATTATTACTTATTAACTATAATAACTTATTGTATGTTTATCTTTTCTAATAATAATTTTATTTAAATTTTCATTCTACAAATAAAAATAGAATATCGAGAATTAATATTGAACATTAATATTCTGGAAATAATATTTTGTGAAATGTAAATAACTGTGAATGACATCATTTAATTAATTATTATAAATTTTGATGAAATTTCATTTTCATATAGTATTTAGGGTTTCGTGGCCAAGGGCCGAAATGAATAAAGCAGAATTGAACTATTAAAAAAAACGCAATCAAAATTTATAATATAATATTCTGAACCTTAGTAATCTTATCATGGAAGTGTTTTAAAACCACATGGTTAGTTAGTTTTCAGGGTGAGTGCATCAATTACTGCGTTTTTGTGAAAAGAGTTATAACTTACTATTTATTTATTTATTTTTTTTTTTGCTCGGTTGAAAAAGATCAATTTAGTCTCTTCAAAACTTGTAAAATAACCGATAAATATATCAGAAACAAAAAAATTCTCTCTTTGAAAATGGTGGTTAGAGGATTTATTTATTATACACCGATGAGAGTAAAAATGTTATTATCGACAAAACAAAATTAAAAATTTATGTGAAAAAGTATATTTCAATTTTGATAAAGGGACAAGAAATATTGTTTTCTTTTTATTTGAAAATATCACTACGAAATAAAAATAGTGGTTGATATTTGCATTTTTATCGAACACACATTGGATTACAGGTTATTTCATTGCAATTCGGAAATAGCGAGAGATAGAAGGATTTTTTTAACATTAACTTAGGTTAGGTACGGATTCCCTAGTTTTATTACATTTTTATTCTTTCTGTAGGATTTACTACTAACTTCAGTAGAATGCGGTTTGGATCTTGTCCAACCTGGAGGCATTCTTAGACACTCAAAATAAATTAGTTTAAAGAAATAGTCGGAAATAAATGTAGATTTATGTAGCTATTTCTTTCCTTAACTCTTAGTACCTACTCTGATACTATTAAAGAAAATTTCTATAAATTCCTAAATTTGCTAATTAGAATCATTTCTTCACTATAACCACCAAATTATTTACTGTAATTGTCAGTATTTATGGGAAATCTTTATTAATTGTAAACAATCACAATTGTTCTCGAGACAACTATTGTTTGATATAACCATCCTGAAATTTATCAAATAATATTTTCTCTATTAAGCTTCAATTGCAGTTGGACGATTCAATAATGAAATTTACGAATCATTTGTTCATCAAGATTTCGATGATAATGATGCTGACGATGATAATAATGTTTGAAATAGTTTTGTTTGCATTTTCAAGCAATATAATGAACGTGGAATTTCAGAAATGAATGAACGCGTGAATTACTCAATTGTGAATTTCCCATAAGACCATGGATAGAATGACAACTCTTTGCGCAAACCCAAGGGAAATATTCAATTGAATTATTAATATAGAATAATAACCAAACATTCACATGTTCTTGTTATTGGCAAATGACAATTTCAATCAATAAAATATTTTATTCATAAACTTTTCTGATAGTGTCAATCAACATATTTTCTCCTCTTCTGATTGCAGAGCAGAAGAATTATAACTAAATAGAAAACAAGAATATTAATTTTTTTGTTTAATTTAAAATTTTTCAATTCTAATGAGCAAATTTGAAAAATTAAAAATAATAAATCTTAATTGAAGAAATATGAAATTTGTCGGAGAAGTATATTTTATTTTCATTTGTCTATATATAATTGTTGGCATTTAAAACAAATTAAGAACTACATCAAAAGAATAATTTTTGTTCAAAAGTATTATTATTATTATTATATATTACTCATATTAAAATTTAACAAAATCCATCAAGTAGAATGGTAAAAAAATAAATACTTGAATCAAATGATTTTTATTTAAATCAGTTAAATGGTATTTGCTTCAAATACTGAAATTATTAATTCAAAAACAATTTAAATGCCTTAAAAAAATTAATTGATTCAAGTACTTACTTGATAAAAGTGAAGCAATCGGTTATTCAAATAAAATAAATTTTTTCTGTGTAGTGATATACTTATAATTATAAGAAAAAACTGTAGAATTATTGATATGACATAAAATTATTGTCATAAGAAAATATTAGTGTACCACTTCAAAAATTATAACTCATAACATATTCAAGTTGACAAAACGAAAAAGATTTTCTTTAGGTTTTTACGATTAAGCACACAAAAATTGTTATTACTCTAAAATATTTTCGTTGTGTCGAAGAAAATTATGTTACAGAAATAACTTACAAACAACAAAAATATTAACAACATTATTTTATTATTATTACAACATAATATAATTTTCCTGTGCCCTACAGGCCATACAATCATAGGATTAATGAAAAATCAGATTAAATTTGCTACATAAAGATAAAGCATTTAGATTTCTCTTATTGTTAATATAATATTTAGTACATAATTACAATTGTAATACATTGCAGAAAATAATTATTAACAAAAAAATATAAATTAAATCTTTATAAGATTTGAATTAATACTAGTCATCTCAATCAGTTGAAATAAGTGAGCCAAGACCTACAGAATTATAAACATAAATAAGCTGATCAACAAAGAAATCAAACAGTGGATTGTAACTTAAATCAATCTTATAGTTTTGATTAAAAGAACTAATTCGATCTATATCGTCGCGAATAAATAATAAATGTTTGTTTGCAGTATTCAATAAACCACTTTCTGTAAAAGAAAAACAGTTCGAATAACTTCCTTCATCAGCATCGTAATCATTTATTCTTTCATCATTTATTAATATATGTCCTTGTTCAACATGTGATAGACATAAGAAATCATTTATTTGAAAATTATAGTTAACATTTAAAACATCATCTTCTGAAATACCTAAAAATTTATACTCAAAAATTTCTGTTTCATTTCTTAGCAATTTCACAGAAAAGTAAAGTTTATCTTCAAAATTATAATTAATATTTTTGGAATATTGTGAGAGCGAAATCATTCTATTATCGTAATTTGTAAATATTCGGAGAAACATTTTATCATTTTCACCTGTAGCTTTGATGGTGCATTTTTTAAGAAATATCGTATCGTCATTGTCCTTTATATCTAATAATCCTTTCTTTGTAAGAACTAAAATGATATCATTCGATGTTTCATTATTAATATACTCTAAGCTTCTATTATTGATCTTTAAGCGATTCGGTTCTGCATGAAAAATATGCAATAAATCATCTTCTTTAAAATCATGTATGACATTTAAAGTATTATCATCATTGGAACTACCCATAAATTTATAATTAAAAATAGTCTCCCCATTTCTGGTTAATTTTACAGAAAAGTAAACTTCATTTTTAAAATCAGAATGAATGTTTTGAGTAAGTTGTGAAATAGAAATCGTCTTATCTTGATAATTTATAAATATTTTAAAACCCACCTCGTCGTAATATCCTAAAGCTTCAACAACGTAATAAACGAGAGGTAGAAACACTTCATTTTTACTTATTTCTTTAACATGAATACGGATCTTCGAACTTTCAGAAATTACACGATATATTACCTCACTCATGTACAATTTATCACCTCTCTTTGCTGCAATATAAATCGAATAGACATTTGCCAGAATCTTTAAATCAAACATTTCATTGTTAATTACATGACATTCATTATTTAAATAAAGACACTCTCCATTTAGATTGAAAGGATGAATTGAAAATTGAACCGAAATGTTCTCTTTTTCTACTTTAGGTAGCAATATTAAAGAAGAAAATGGTCTAAAATCACGCTCTTGACTCATTCTCTGTATATCGTCAGATGATTTATTAAAATCTATGGCGGGCATTAAGGAATTTCCGCTTAAAGCACGTAATTCTAAATCTGGATAAACTAAGGGGAATGTATAATTTTTAAAGTCAACAACTTTCTTTAAATAGGGTAATATATTAATATTATGAAGATCGAGAAACATTTCGACTAGTGTAGGAATAATGTTGGCCGTTTTACAAGAAGTTACTTTGTTTATTTGAAAATGCCGATAAATGAATTCCCGAAATAATGCGTCTGACCCATCGTATCCAAAGAGACTTATAAAAAAGTGTTGTTTTTCCTTATTATTCCATCGGTGAATAGGTACACCATTTTGATAGTTTAGAGTAGCATTCGTCTTATCAGAATCTTCGAATGTCATCCAATATCCGTCTAGTTCTAATTTATGTTGATAAAAAGCTGCAAAAATATTATTCCACGCTTCACCCACATATCCAAAACCAAGAAAATCTGATTCAACATCATAGTAATGTCCAAACTCGTGTAATAAAATCCATCTTGTGTTTTCAGGAGGTTGTAACCATGGTAAAACACTTTCATAACCTATACGTTCTCGGGTTAAAAATCCTGTCTCACAGTCCTCTTTTACATAATTACAGGACTCATCTTCATTTCTACACCCACTTGATGATTTTAATGTAAAGTCAAGATGTTGATTATTTGGAAAAACTGTATCGTGGCAAAGTGTTAAAGTTAAAAATAGAACAGTACGTTTTTCTATGTAATTGCCATATTCTGAACCAGGCGAATGTATAATTCTTTTAGAACCAAGTA